ACACCTACGCGTCGGCCTGAAACCATCAAGTAGCGTCCAGCAAGGCTCGTAATGAAATCTCTCCATGTTAATGAGTCCATTGTAAAGAGGGGAGAATCTGCAAAGAAAGGCAGGGAAAATAATGTTTGGTCAAAAAGAATGAACCCTTGGGCTTTATGTTCAAAGGAATGAAAGTTAACAAGGTGGAAGCTTAAACTGGTTTTGGCTATAACTGTTTCGAGTACCCTTAGTGTTTTGGGAGCTGCAGGGAGGGTGGTGTGATGGCCTCAATATGATCCCAACTCTTGGTATGATGCTTTCCTGAGAGAGAAATGGAGCTGTGTCTACTTCAACGGTACACAAGAGGCCTCTGAGAATGTTAAAAACTGATTTAGTAATATTGATCCAGTGATTTGCCACAACTTTGCCTTGGACTTGCGAGTGCTTGAAATATTCTTCACAGAAATCCAATGATGTCTGTGTCTACAAACTTAGGAAGTCATAATACCAAGGATTTTTTCGTTTTTTTAAGTTATGTATTACAGTGGGAGTAGTAGATGACTCTGGTCAGCTTATCTCAGCTGAAAAGTGGTGTCTTTAAAACAAAAAAATAAAAACCTCACGAACTCTGATCACATCCAGTGATTCAATTAATTTTTTCTTACTTGGAGTATACAAGGGCTAATGGTACAAAGGAATATACTGGCCAACATGACTTCACACAAAATATATAAATTCTTTTCAACACCTCTGGTAGCATAGGTGTGAACACAAATTTAACACTGTAAACTTTTGTGTTCTAATTTTAACTTTCACTCAGACATTTTATTGCATGTTACAGTAGTAGGACTTGTGCTACTTTGCGTCACTTGGTAAACAAGCAAATATTAATGGAAACTCCTTGTCAAGCTTAGGAGCTCTGCTAGATGAGCTTTGGCATTTTGTGATTGAATGGGGTAAGGGGTTACTGCCTCTGACGGTCTGGCCGCACTCTCACAGGAGGTTAACGCCCATGCAGGCTGCATAGCAGAAGTGAAGGTTATGATGGCTTCTCAGCTGGAAGGGCACCCATCCTTTCTGCATTGGAGTCCTCATGGTGTCCAAATAAAAACAAGCTTTCTCAAATGTGGAGGACTCCTCTAGCATCTAGTTTATAAGACTTGAGAGTCATTATCTTGTGATGTCCCTCGAGGTAATTTGATGGAGAAATTGTTAGTGCAAAGGCCCCTACGCAGGCATCGGGAGTTGTGCTTTCTTGTGAGACACGGAACATGAGACACGAACCACTGGATATCGCTGCTTTCCAGAAAGAGAAAAATGTCTGAAAGCGCCTTTTTCCTTTTTCTTTTTTCTTTTCCCCTTCCCCCCTCCTTTTCTCTGGTTGCCATACTGAGTAACTGGCTTCTAGTCTGATAGTGTTTTAGGTGACTAGAATAACAGTCTGTCTCTTTCCGCAGTGGCTGCAGACAATCTGGCAGCAATCACTGTTACTTTTTAATATTTCTGGTTATTTTGAGATATCCTCCAAATGTCTCAAAGAAGGCTTGGAACGCTGAAGGGGAAGAAGCTTTTTTTTTTTTTAGGAATAGCAGCATCAGGAGGAAAACGAAATTCAGCATGCCACTATTTGTTTTTGCAGTGGTCATCACCCTGATTGCCAGCTCTGACAATATTTTCATAGAAAGGGTAACTAAATAGCTGGTTTTGTTCTTTATAGTAACTCTTTCAGTAGAATGTCAGGACCTGCATTTAAATGAATATATTCACATTTTCGTGTTCCCATTTTTTTGTTCGAAACTTCCCCTCCTAACTTTCTGCAACTACTTCATACAGACTTGGCAAGTTAAAATTAGGGTTTGCATAGTGGATAATGTCACATTTCAAAGCTAATCTCTAGAGACCTAGCTGCGTGAACCTATGAAAGCTGGATCAGATTTTTTTTACGTATTAAGTGTTTGTTTAGTTTAAATATGTCTGTATCTTTTTTGATCAGCCCGAGCGATTTGCATGCTATGCAGCAGTCATCTTCTATACTTTATTAAATATCTGTCAATTATAAATATCAAGGTTTTACATTAATGTCAGGATAGTACATCAAAAATTCATGGAATATGTGACTTTTTTCAAGGGTATTTAATACTTAATGCATTTATGTCATTTTTCTTTCTAGATATATTGACAGGTTTTATTAAGTGTTTGTTAGGGAGATTTCATTTTTACCAAGGGACTATAAAGAGAAGCTGCATACTAAATCAATTTTTTAATCAGAATGTTGTTCTTTTTTGTGTCTTCAGATTCTTTTACTCTATAGGGTTTTTAAGTTACGTAGTAAAATCAGAAATCTAACATGTTCAAATATGCTGACATCTTAACTTTAAAATAGCTACTAGAATAGCTACTACCACGGAATGTTATAAATATGGTAATTGTGTACGCCGGGATTTTATTCTGCCTTGTCTTTTTTAAGACCATGTATGTTGTCCTTTCTTGTAATTTACTGTTGATGTGAATTATGTCTGCATGGTCTCGGTATAGGGGCAGTCCCCAAGTTTCACAGACCTACAGATGGGGGGAGCGTTTGGGGGCATCCAGAATCTTTGCCCCTGGGTTGCGTGTTGGAGCTGACTCATTGCGGAGGGACCGCTCTTGTCAGACGAACAATTAACCTCACAGAAATCTGCTGAATTAATACAGATTTTTTGTTAGGGAGAGGACGATGGCAGCATGTATGCATCTTGCTTACTATAGGTATTTGCTCCAAGTTAGGATTGAGCATTAGCCTTGACTGTGTGTTGGGTGTTCAGTAAGTGATCTTGCTACTTGTTAGGCGTTGGATGTAAGCCAGTTTTTGGTTGTGTGAGAATTATTAACTTGTAGCGTTGTTCTTAATTTTAATAAATATCAAATCTCTCCAGTTTGTCTTACTTTTAATATCACCAGGATTTCAACATAGCAAGTCTAAAAATAGAAAGGAAGAAATAATGGCACAGTTCTGTAACACAGGTTGTTGTTGTTTGTTTTTAAGCCTAGTATTAACGTATACATTAAACCATCAAGCAGGACAGCACCTCCAAGCTAAGGCCACTCGTACTGGTTAGAACCACAGAGGGGTTCGGGCTCGGAGGGGCTCCGCAGCTCGTCTAGTTTCACCCCCTGCCATGGGGGGGGTGCGTAGAGGGCGAGCGGGAACCGTGCGCTCGGTGTCCGGTCGGTACGACTCCCTCCTGCGCCGTCAGGCCCGTTCTAGTCGCTGTAAGGCCTTTTCAGCGCGCTGTGACCGCAGTAACTCGTGCCGGCTGCGAAACGACCTGCGGGGCAGGGAGCGGGGCTTTACCTGTTGGTT